TGTCCTCCTTACACATTCTCACTTATCTTGGATGCATTGAGTTTGGCAGCAATCAGTGAAGTTCGCTTCACTGTATTACGCTGTACAATGATGAATGATGATCAATGTAGACTACTGCTAAGTGACATGAATACGCTGGTAAATTGAGTGTCAATAATAGCCGTAGACCTCAGACATTGTTAATCGTGTGAAAGAAGGAAACCTGTGATGACTCATTCCAAGCAAAGTGATCGAAACTTAAACTCACCACTCGTAAGTAATATGACTGTTCATAGTGGCTATGAACATGGAAACGAAGTGTAATGTGGTGCTAAAACTTTTAGTGTATCCTATAAAACTTCAGAAGGATGTTTAATAAATATTCAACAGGAATATGACCCCGTCTGTTTCAGAAATTTATCAGTGTCATTAGGGTGTCTTCATTGGTAGATCGAACCACATGGTATTGCACCTCATTCAGACGTTCCTATATGATATTGCCGGCAGATTTAGTTTCCGTTTGAACCGGCTCCAGAAGGCTTGTACTTCGTTGGTATACACTCCTGTCGCTGGATTGATGAAACTGCCAGAGTGATTCACGCACATGAAAGTAGTACGTAAACAAACCAATGGTACAATGTCGGGATTTCAGACGTGGCCACAACATGTCGAGTTTTTCATGATGGGGTTTTATGATTCTTTATGATAATTCATGACTATTGAGGGTTATTGAATTGCTGTGGTGTATGCTCTTGCTTTCATTTCGAGTTAGGGCGACTGCTTCTTTAAAACCTGTCACTTTTTCGTCGTGTTCTTTTGCTGTATGTCCACGTACAGTGATGTTGTCGACATAAGCGAGTTATCTCTCCATTTGTTGCTCCGAAGGGAACTCGCCGGAATAGATATTAACTTAACGCAGTCGAACACAGTGGAAGATTAGAAATAGCAACAAAGCGTACGAACCACGCACCTTCTCGGTTGTGGCAGTGGTCACCAGCTTGATTGGGCGTCGAGGTGTATTGGGCACTCTCGGCTTTCGACGTCGTCCAAAGGGCGCATGATCCGACGAACGGGACACCGGCCCCCATTGAACGGCGGTTTTCACATCACTCTGTTGTCTTGTGTGGTAGGGTTTGGCTCACAGATCCTCCGGTTGTGAAGTACTCAAGAAAATCCATCTATTTCGGCAACCTGGGTAACGTGGCTGTAACCCGCTCACTAGCAAACCAATGAAGCTTTTTGTTTTTAACAAAGGTTGTTGTACCATCGTTTGATCAACAGTCCGGACTCACGGTTGATATATATACACTCCCACTGGTTGGAGTCAAAATAGCCCATAAGCCAGTAGCAAGTGTGAAATCGTTTCTCTTCAACGATAAGGATCGAGTGGAACAGCACGGACGATCAGGTTTAATCAAGGCAATCCCGTGTCTGAGCTGCAATAAAAACTACACAGGTGAAACAGGCAAAGAACTACGCACTCGCATAAAAACAAGCAAATACCAACCGAGCCTTCTGTATGCGAGCTGACACTTCATCTGTGATGCGTCCACCAGGTGCGATGTAGCTGCCCAAATAACTTAACTTATCCGCTTGCCCTGTTACTTTCCCAGTTAGAGTGAGTCTAGGTGCTGGACCGACCCAATCTTGTAGTAGCATTTTACAAGTCGAGGGGGATAAACATTAAGTTGCATTCGCAAAACTTGTGACGATTGGTGGACTTATAGACACACAACACAGCACACAAGTGCACGGAAAGACGGTAATCCCACCATCTCATTCATTCCTTACACGTTTGACGAGTCCTAGTTTGAATCGAAACGTTACAGTAAACATTTTACAACTCAGTGTAGGCCTCAATTCTATCTTGAATTATATATATATATGTATATATATATATATATAATATAGCATGTAATACAGGGCTAAGTACTTGGATAGATGCCATTTGAACAACTGATTTAACGAGTATTGGAAATTGGAGAAAGGCGCTCCTCCAAACGGTTTGTTTCGGGCTAGTTGTGCTAGTCACTTTTAGAGAGTGCCTTCTAGCCATTTTAAAGAATGCCATGCCATGTAACAATGCATGCATAGCATACAGGTGTAGCAGATGTGAAACTTGGATGTACCTTTCAATTCCAGCAATGACCTGTGTCTTTCCTGTTGACCCATGAAGCCTAGTGAATCCTCCGCAAAAGCTACCTTATGGAGCCAGGTAAACGACTGGATTGTCTTCGGTAATGAATTTAATTAGCTCTCCGGATTGATTACAAGTCTTCGTTCAACTTCTGAGGATGAGAAATCAAAGGTTTTGGACATACTGAAATCGGCTGTGGCGCAGCTTGAAAAAAAGCAATCGGTATCCTTACCTGACGGTGGTTCAGACAATGCGGATCTCTCCAGCAATGCTATGTCCGACTGCAACAACTCTTCGACCATTGTTCGTGGTTCGGAGCAGTGTGAACTGAGAACAAATGAGGGTTTGTAAAATTTTACATACCGAGTTATGCTTTCTTCCCGATAGTTTCCTCTTCTCTGAAGGAGAATTCGGTATCCACATGCGAAGCCCCCGACCTTTTTCTTAAAGATATAGTCATATCTTCATTTCTTGATGAAGTTCCGGTAAGTAATTTTGCCTTTTTTCGGTTTTCGCAAATTCCCTAAGAAAATGTCTTCCAATGTGTTTTTATTTTTCGCGTGTTGTTGCTATTAACTGTTCACCTTTTCCACAACTTTGTTTTTGTAAATTCCCGATCATGTGTTTGTTTCTGTGTTTTCTTAGCTTCTAATAGACTTCCGAATTCATGAGTCATTGGTTTCACAGGGAGGATTCGGCTCAATCTGCATTTTTCATTCTTATCGAATTAAGTTTACAAGGTCATATATTTTATTAGTTCGATGTCTGAAATGCTTGCCATACGATGCCGTACGATTATTGCAAAACTTTTGCCTACTGTCCAGTAGCATTTGGACTTTTCATACGGTCAGATGTACCCTAGCATGTTTCATCTGTTTTGCGGGCTGCTCTCTCTCTCTCTCACTTGATAGCTTGGAATACCATCTTTGCAATCGATCGCTTAATTTGAGTTAATAACTTCGGTTCCGGACAAAGCCCAATTGATTGGACATTATAGCCATTAGTGTACGAATAGCTTCGTGCATCCAACACCAGCAAGTCTTTCCTTCCAACGTTCTACTTTTCCAATCCCTTGGAAACACATTGTGATTATTCCCATTCCCAACTGCGGTCACCATTCTGACCCCAAAAATTACCGACCCATTTTAATTACATCGTTTCTTTCGCAAGTATTTGAAATCATCATCTTTGTACAACTGCGCACGTTCCTCCAACGTGAAGAATTACTGAGCGACCGCCAGTATGGCTTCTCTCATCGTCGTTCCACCGGTGACCTTCCGGCTTTTGTCTCACAATCCCCGTCGGCTGCACTCGACAACCACGGAGAAATACACTTGGTCTAGCTTGATATCTCAAAGGCCTTCGATCGAGTTTGGCACGAAGATCTACTGGCGAAGCTGCCCTTGTTCGGTTCCCTCAGGCTGTCGTATCGGAGATATGAAGTTTCCTCAATGAGCGAACCATCTCCGTTGGAGTTGATGGCGTTCTATCTCAGCCGGTCCCTGTGAATGTTAGCGTTCCCCAAGGCCCAGTACTTGCGCCCATCCTCTTTCTTCTGGTTAACAGTTATCTTTCTAAAACTCTTAACCAAATCCATTATTTCGCCGATGACGGAACCCTCCGCCGCTTCCTCTTCTACCGCACTACTCGGCACGCCCAAAACAACTTCGATCGTGACTGTAGTGCAGTTAATGTGTCACTGGACTCTGATCTCGAACTTATCCCCTCCTGATTCCGGCCTGGCCGTGGATGTATTGATCAAATTTTTACGTTGCCTCAGATCCTTGAGCTGCATCATACTCACCGTCGGCCAACGATCGCAGTGTTCCTTGACCTGA